ACATAAATATCGGACAACAGCAATTATTTCATTATTTCTTTGGTGAATAATATTGGCCCGAATGGGCATAGTGTAATAATAATAGCAGCATGAGGCATGGGGGGGTGGTTGTGTTACGGTGTTCAGGGGGAGGTTTGTGGGTGGTGCTTTGTACTTTAACATTGGGCCACCTATTCGCACGGCTCGTCCAGTAACAAAGGCAAACCAATCATTAAGGGCCTCATCGACGTCTGGATCCTTGCCTTCACGCTTCCGTTTTTGGGAAGTACCTCGTCGACCTTCACATTATGACAATTCTTCTCGCAGATCTTTCTCTTGTTTTATCAGGCGCGATATTGTGGATTTTGCCAAGCAGGTAATTTCCACCAATCGACGCTGACTATTGGTTGGTCCCTGTTCCTTGATCTGATCTAGGAAACAAATCTTCTCAGCTAACGTCAAGTCCCGTCCTGGCATTCTCTTAACATGGAACAAGACACGCACAGTTCACTGAGGTGAACTCGAGTCTGTCTCCCGGGTATTTCTATGGTTGACCTAGCCACCTGCTGTCCTATGATTCGTCGGACCTGTGTGTCCGCGATCACTTGTTGTGCTCGAGAGTAGGTCCGCAATGCGGGCTCAGGGCATTCGGCTCAATGGACGTGTGGTACATCGATCGAGCGGTTAACGACATGTGAACAAGCATGTATATCTTCGCTCCGCCTACAAGTGTTGGAAACTACAGTCAGTTTCGGGAGGTTCTGAAGCCAATTAGATAGATGTGCCTCAAGGTTGGCACAGTTCAGTTTATCCAAAGGCCAACTCGCATTACCGTAACTAAATGGTACGCTTTCTTGCCCGTCATATGAACTGTGGGTTTAGTCCAGACATCCAGGCACAGAACTTGATTTTAACAACTCTGTTACCTGCCACCTTCTGTCGTCTGGTCCGATTAAGCGGAATTCCGGTCCTAAAAAGCGGCTAAAATTAGGCTAGCGTAATAGGATTCGTTTCGGTTCTTCAGAATTTGGCCCGAATAAGCGGCTGGTCCTATTAACCGGTGGTCCTATTAACCGGAATCGACTGTATATGGTTGGCGGCATCCGGTTTCGGATTTCTCAGTCATTGTGACTGGCCACAGGACGCCTGCGCCTACAGAGGGACCATGGATGGCTTGCGCTGCACCACCCACAGCTCCATCCACACACCCCATATCCAGTGTAAACCCGAAGGAATAAGACCGGGATGCATGTGGATGGGAGCTACGTTTCATCAACGGAGCCGGCCCACACTCCTTCACAGGCAAACACAAGCACCCTGTATTTGGGAATCAAGTGCAAACAAGGCGGTGGTTGGACCGTAGTTCGCTCCACACTGAGTGCATGGAACCACTTCGAGCCTAACACGGCCACAAGGATCGTACACGTCATCCCCTCCAGCAACGACCCACTGTATCCTGGGGTCTGTATGGAGGAGGTGGCGGGTACTTAATCGGTAGGCACTTTGTCAACATGCACATCAAGTGCAGCCATACCGGGGATATCAAACAACAGCCAATCAGTTGAAATGACGATATCAAATAAAATACACGAATCATGCATACAGCTACGGAGATGTAACTCTTCACTAAATGATCGTATGAAATAAATTTGTCACAAACAAATTTGCAATAAGTTCTAGACGTGAGAAAATAGATTTTAAGAGCATGCCACAAAAACGAAAATGCTACCGAAATTAAGTAAGGTAGGTTGTTGGACGTATGCAACTTTATAGAAGATAGTTCATGTTTATATTAATGAGATTTAAAAAAAAGTATTAGGACAATATAGTAAACCCAACAGCTGAAGTGAAGTGGCTCAGCATGCAAGCACGTGGTTAGTAAATGGAATGCATTGCACCTACAAACGCAGAGCAGTTTCTGCCTGTGCTCACAGCAGGACTCATCGTCGTTTCGGTGTTGGCCCGGAGTGGCCTCGCTCATGACTCACTAGGCCAGGCTGACCCATGCGCTCGCCACCACATGTGCTACAGCACCTTGCGCTCGATATCGATGGAGTACACTCCATTGACGCATATCGCTTTCGCAGCTGCCGCTTCTTCTCCGCATACATAAGCGGTTTCTCTTGCACCTCGGCAACTGTCTTCGTGATCAGCTGGCGCCAT